AATAAACCAGTAAATGAGTTACAAAAAAAAAATGTTTATAAATCAAAGGAAAATCGCGATATGCATACAAATAATTTTGATTCAGTAAATAATATTGATAGTTATAATTGTATGGAACAATCATTTCAATCCTTAGAGACGATTCCTGTTTATGAAGATTTACAGTTACATGAAAATCACACTGCAAAAGAAGTAAATGCTTCAAACAAATCTCATAAAATTGAAAATGAAGTAAATATTTTTTTTGAATCCCAACCACAGAAGACTTTAGACATTTCTACATCAAATGATCTTAAAGTAAATTTAAAGGAAGAAACTCATTTATGTGAAGTAAATGAAACAATTGACAATGGTATAAATGTAGATATTTCTTTATGCAAGTATTCTAATCCAAATAAAATTATGTCAGAAACTTCCAATAACCAAGAATTATATCTAGAAACAGATAATAAAAAGTCACTGATTATTCATAACAATATTAACAGCTCTAATACAAGTTCAATTTCATCTGATAGTGGTAGTATTCAAAGAAATCTCATTGTTAATTTAAATGAGAATGATACTGATGTATATGAAATGCAGAAAAACAGTGTCAGTCAATTTGAGGAACCTAATTATAAAACTGGATTAGAAGATATTTATAGTCCAGATTTTACATCTGATGAGTATACATCAGAATTTCAAGGGTCATATCAATTTAATAAAAATTATAATATAATAGAAACAAATGACAGTGAACAAAGTAATGAAACTTCTTATGAAGAAAATAGAAGTGAAGGAGAAATAATATTTGAGGATAAAACATTTATTGAACAGTATTCAAATGATCATGGTGATTTTGTAAGTAAAATTATAAAATTATACCATAGTAATAAGTTAATTATATTACTAATAAGTAATAACCTAACCAAACTTCTTATGTATTATATTTTAGGTTCAAAAAGAGAATTCTACTGATGATAAAGTTCATGTTATTACTACTAATATTTTTAATTATCTTCTGAAAGATACAAAAGAATCATTAAAATTTAACTTGAATAAATCATTATTTCGTTCAGAGAAAAATGATCTTAATAATTTAACTGAAGAAACTCCATTGTTGTTGATCTTAAAACGTGAAGAAGAGAATCAAAACCGGATTATTCTCTCGGAGCAAGCAACAATTATTTCAGATGTACTTTACAAGCAGCATTTACAAACTCTTTTCCCCAAAATTCTACAAATGTACTTACCTAAATTGAATGAAATAGAAATGGAAAAACTAACAGTATATTTAAAGTGGTCTTCTACTAAAAAAAAAAAATTGAAATTATCAGAATGTTTAATTTTTCGTAAGTGAAAAAATTAATAATAAAATTAATTTGACTGCTCTAAAATATTTGCTTATATGTTTATTTTATTAATGCTTATTCTGCTGCATGCTGTTAATTTTATTTTTTGCACAAATATGTACTTCAACTTCATAATAATAATTTTTGTTTCAAGTATGCATGAAAACATCCATTGCCTACTTATAATAACTTACATTATTTATTGAGTAAATCAATTAATATTTGTTAATGTATTTTTTATTTATTTGTTTTAACATTTTTTATTTAAAATACAATTTTTATCCAAATTTAAGATCTTAAATTATATTTATGAGAGAAATATTTATCATTTTATTGTTTAAGAGAAAAACTTGAATACATTTCTGGTCTTGTTTTTATATTTTTTGTAGATACTTTTTAGATACTTTAAATTTATTTGTCGTGGAATATCAATTTTATTTTTATGTAATTTATAAACATTATTAATCTTAAATCGCTTCAATTTTGTAAATAATGTAATATATGTATGTATTGTATAAACATTTATTGATTTTACTCTAGAACACAAAATTGATGTTGACAATGAAAATTCATTTGAAATGTTTTATCAAAAGTATCTAGATCAGGTAATAATAATAGTTTTAACTTTTAAATATGTAAAGTGTTCTTACAAATTGATTATATAACCCAACTAATTGGATTTCTTCATAAGTCTAATTTCTAATTAAATCTGCTTTAGAAAAAATCTCTGACTTTCCAAGATGAAAGTAATGATGATGTGCTCAGTCATACCCAACAAGAAGCAGAAAAGTTAAAACAAGAACAAATACGTATTGAAGAAGAAGTATGTGGGGTTATTTTGAATTTTCTCAGAATATATTATATTTAATAATATGTGGCTTGTGTTTTTTTTTTCAGATTGAACGTCTTCGCATGTCAGAAGAAGTACAATTTTTTCTAAGAGAAATACCTAATAAGCCACCACCCCCCTATAAGAGTCCCACTAAAAACAAAGCACTTATTGACATACCTTATACATCTGATGAAGTTCACGAAATAGTTTTGACAGCTGCTAATCAAGTATTCAACGGTTCTCAAAATGCATTATCAAACGACTATATTATAGATTCAGATTCAAATGTACATGCTGATTATAAAACATTAATTTTTGATTACTGTAAAGAAATTGCACTAGACTTATTTATTGACGAGACATATTTACCTTTATGGAAGAGATCTATAAAAAGGTTGAAACATTTTAGGGCAAGACCAAAAACCCCTAAAGATTTAAGTGATATAGTTATAAAAAAAATGAATCAGATTATTGATATAGACGAGTGTGAAGAGAAAGTAAATAAATTTGTAGTGAAACAAATGCATGAAGAAGACAGTAAATGGACTGATTTTCAAATGGATGAATTGGAAATACAAAATGATATTGTTCAAAATTTGATGAAAAAATTGGTTTGCGATACTATCTCAAGTACTAAAACTAATTTTTATTTGAAATTTATCTAACATAAGTATTTCTTAGCTTAGTTGATTTTATATACCTATTATATTATATAAACTAATTTTATGTATATTATTTTTATATATATTTGAAATATTTTTTTACATTTATAATTGCAATTATGTTTTATTTTATTTATAAACTACTTAATGTTATTAAACGTTTATTATTTTTAAAAATGTTTCATTTGTGTAAATAAATTACAATTTGTAACAATGAACATCAAGAACAATTATTCAACATTATGATTATAATATAATATATCCACTAACAGAAAAACAAATTTACACAGGATCTTTTTCAGTTTAAGGCAGTGCTGCATGCCTATACTGCTATGTTAACCAATATTCACCCACTAATAACACCCCTTTTAATAACAACCTTTAATTAATATAAATAATATAAAGAACATCTCACACATTTTTTTACAAGTCCTAATTAAACATTAATTATAGAATCTGGTAAAAATATAATATGAGACTGTGGGGTGCTTAAAAGTTATCGAATCAATGTAAACAGAAGAAATAATTCATTCCAATTGAAGTTATTCAAGATTATTGAAATTCCCTCAATGTTTAAGTTAGGTACTTAATTTTTTTTTATAAACATGTGAATATTGCATTAGAGATTAACTAAATATAAATAATTTAATATAAGAGTTATTTTATAAGCTATATATTAGAAATAAAATCAATATTGTACCTACATAGTATATAATGTTAAAAATTGTTATTTTATAAAAAATGTATGTCATCATGATACCGATGATTATAGTAATAATAATAATAATAATAATAATAATAATAATAGTAATAGTAATAATTGCATATAAACTAATGTATAAAAAAAATAATAATAATAATTATCTTTTACTCTATATTATATAGGTATATAAAAAAAAATGCATACCATGATACTGAAGCTTATAACTTGTATAATGTATATACATTTAAATGTAAATAATGTATTACTGTATTAGTATGTGATGGTAGTGTAGGTATATTATGTGATTATATTACACTAGTTTTTTTCTTTTGCAGAATGGCTCACCTACATTATATAAAGCCAACTTTGCTAGATTTGCAGCTACCTACTTCATTTTTAATTTTTCTAACTAATTGGTCTAGTCTAACTATGTGGACATGTGGTATATTATCTATGTCTGTGGTCAGTTTGAATAACATCTTGGTCGCATTTATTTTGAGTATGCTGATAAAAATTCCGAAAAACACCATCGTGACATTTAATATATTATATATAGTCATATAGGTAGTAATATGGTATTTGTGGCACTAGGCAGTAAGTTGCGTGATAGATTAAATAACTTCTATCTAAATCTATCAGTTATAAGTTGTAACTACAGATATATTTAATTTATTATTATTATTATTATTATAATTTAATTATTATATAAATCTGTGGTTGTAACTTGTATATCCCATTTAACTATTTTATTGGAGCCCCCGATCACTGGAGATTTGTGAATTGTGATAATGTGATCTAGTTCCACAAGTATCCACTTATGACGGCGCTAGTAATGCTACAAGTCCTCTTATAATCTATAAAGTATAACCTTTCTGTTCAACAACATTTCGTAATTCGTAGTTCCGAGTTCGTAGTCAACCTCTGAACCTCCCCCACACCCTTCAACCATGTCGTGTCTGACTAGTCTAGTCCTGTTTTATGTTTATCTCAGTCCGTGATTCATTATAATATTATACTTATCTATAACTTAGTTATGAGTGCTATAAAAGAGTAAAGATCTTTAATCGTCATGGCGCGGGATCATATAGATTTATTTAAAGAATAGTATTCCCGGGATCTATATTTTATACATATAGTTGGTATTTCACTAATCACTAGGTATTTGGTATTTCAGTACCTACTTCTGTCTTCAGACTTTACGCTTCGAGTCTTCAATTCTTCAGTCTTTCTCAATTCTGGATTCAGTGGTTTACGACTTAACGTACATTAGTACATAATTTTATAGTCATTGATTTCCATTTTCCATAAGGTTACATGTCGTAGTACCTACTGCTTGACTAAATCCGTTTTAAACTTGCCATCATTGGTAGTTTTTACCATCGTTAGATACCGAATTTGTAGTAATTGATATCAAATTTTTATTAATATATTTAATACATTCTTACCTGGGTTCAACCACAGAAATTATGAATATGGCAGATAGTAATAATAATATTATATTATTTGATATGGCTAAAAATGAAATGTTTGATATCAATGATAATTTGAAAATTTTGAGAAGGAAATTGCAAGGATCTTATACGATTGCCATGTAAGTTACTGAAATTTTAAATTAAATACCTAAAGTTACATGCCTTAATATTTATTTTGAAACAATTTGTAGAAATAAACATGAGATCACAGTGGATGTCCTAAATGGTGTGCAGTTAGTTGTATTTGGAGCTCCTCGTGCTATGTTTTCAGAAGCAGAATTTAATTGTCTTCATAAATATATTGATCTTGGAGGATCCGTATTGGTTATGTTTTCTGAAGGAGGCGAAAAAGAACTACATACTAATATAAATTATTTATTAGAAGAATTTGGTATAATGGTTAATAGTGGTAAGAATATTTATAGACTTAAAAAAAATTGGCAAGTAGGCAATCTGCTGTATAGGAATCGAACATACCTCGCCATAGGTAGACCACTAATACAGCGGTCCCCACAATTCATGTATACTACTTTATCAAATTAAATTAAATTTTACATTCTAAAATCCATCCATCATCCTAAACTCGAGTAACTAAAATAAGATACTTATATTAAAATATACTTATTAAATAATATTTTTTTAACTTTTATAACTATATTATGATTCAAAATGTAATTAGAAACTAGGAATCTATATACACTCGGGTCCTGTTGAAAAAAAATATGCCTTTTGTCAATAATATATGTAAATTTAAATTTATTTATTGCATGCTTCCTAAACCAAGGCCCGCAAGTAGTTTTCACAAATAATATTTCATGCTTTCCAAAATCTTGGTGGGGACTACTGATTTAATGGATGTGTTAGATTTAAATTCAAATGATAAATAATTGCATACGAAAATTAAATCTGATGGTCTGTCAGCCTATATTACTATATTTTATCATATATTGCTATTTTACTATTAGTAATATGGTACAAACTATAAATAAGTAAAAGCTTAAAATTAACCTAAATATTATGAAAATTCATTGTGTATGGATAAATATAATAATAGACTATGAAATTATTTCAAGTCCTCACAAATATTTTGAAACTACAATAGAATAACTAAAATTACTAATCATAGTTTAAATATCCAATTTTATCAATATTTGAACTTCTAATGTCTATAAAAAAAATGTGTGTATTTATAGGTATTTTGTAGAACTTTGAGTTTCGGTAAGATCTTACGAGGAAAATTGTATTGTATTTTCAAGCCTTTATTATAAAAATTTAACATATACATTTTTAACTAAGAAATAATTTATTCTATTATTTAATTAATTGATACTATATTTTATATTCTTATTATAACTAGCCATTTTATTTATATTTTTATTTTTAGACTATGTATTACGCACACACTATTATTTATATTTCCACCCAAAAGAATGTCTTGTTAAAGATGGTGTTGTTAATGAAGCTGTGGCTAAATATTTGGACCGAGAAAATGAAAACACATCAAAGTAAGCTAACAATTAATAAAAGTCTAATATATATATATATTAGTATTTAATATAACAAAAGCTTTTCCATAGTAAAATTTTTCTATAGATAAAACAATTAAACCAAAATAACCCAACAGTTGGTAGACTAATAGGTATATTGTTAATTGTTAGTAAGGTATTTTTAGAAATATACTCCTGAGTTCTGATGAATAAATAAAAGTTTAAGATTGAGATCATTTTGAATTTTATTTTTAAACCAATATAACAAAACGAGAATATTTAGAGAGTATATTGTCTATTAAATATTTAGTTTGAAACTCATTATCTAATAATTAAATCGTGTTCAGTTGTACCATTATTTTATAATATTTTTCAATTAATGCTTCACTGATAATATTTTAGCTTCATAATTAATTGTTACACGTGCATGAGTACAATATACAATATAATTAATATGATTTTAAAATCAATGAGGAGAGTTATTAATATATTACCTGTCCAGCAAGAAACACTTATATAAATAATTTTAAAAAAAAATGATAATTCACACAAATGGGGTGTTCCAAAATATGTATGTAACTGTATTATGTGTATCTACTAAATATATAATAAGTTCTAACAAGGGAGATTGACTTTTAAATCATCCGAGGTTGATCGCATTCAACCATTTGGCCGCCACTGTTATATACTCAAATTTATCAACTAATAAATGACAACAAAGATTAATTCAATTATCTTTTTTTGTCTTTAATTTTGTATTGGCTTTTCATCATAATAATATATATTAAACAATTTTCAGATGTATAAGTTTTGTATTTCCTTATGGTGCTAGTTTAAATGTGGCTAAACCAGCTGCTCCTATACTTACTAGTGGTTCTGTTGCTTATCCTCTTAATAGACCACTCTGTGCTTTTTATTCTGCTTCAAAGTATTCCAACAAAGGTATCAAATAACAAATATTTAATAATACACAAATTGCATTATATTGTGTTAATTGAATTCACCCTTTGCACTTTTTCATAAGATTAATTAAAATTAATAGTGTACATAAAATTAGGTATACATGTTGTTAGTTTGATTGTTTTTATTAATTATCTCTATTATATTAATATTTACTAATATAAAAATTAAATTAACATAATATTATTATAGCCAAAAAAGGAAAACTTGCAGTCATTGGTTCTGGTCATTTGCTAACAGACAAATATATTAATTGGGAAGAAAATGATAAAATCCGAGAGATTTTGTTTGATTTCTTGATCACAAATAATATAACTTTAAATGAAATTGATGCTAATGATCCTGAGGTACGTATCTTGTTATTATATTTAATTCTGTTTATCTAACCTTAATATTATCCAACTCTAAATTAGCAATTTTAGTATTTATTTTAATACATTGACCCATAAAAAATTACTTGCATCAAATCAGAAAAATAAAATTATATTTTTCCGATAGATTTATTACTCTAACTATTACACTCAATGAGTTTAATAATTAATAAACATAATTTTGTGTTCATATTTATATTTCTGGGTTTTCTTTCTGTTAGGTTTTTTTTTTATGCATTATTTATGTAGACATCCCCTATTTTCTGCCATATTGGTTATCAATTTGAAATAATTTAAGATAGAACCGGTTCCATCAGCTAAATTGTATATTATATTCCTATGTAATTTACTAATAGCCCATAGCATAGCGAGGAAGTGTGCAACTTTCTGGTATTTTACACATTTTTTGTAATAGTTAAGCATAGTACAGTGGTCGCCGCTTATAGTGTTCACTGGTTATTAAAATCAGCCGCTTATAGTGTTCACTAGTTATTAAAATCAGCCGCTTATAGTGTTCACTGGTTATTAAAATCAGCCGCTTACAGTGACCAAAAATGCCAGGAACGGAATAAACAGCCGTTATAAGTGCAATTTTTGTCGCTTACAGTGTTCAGGTTTTCAGTTATTGTGATCAGAAATAATCATCACAAATATTAATATAATTTATAATAATATGACCTCGTTTTGTGTACAAGGAAAACGATTACGAATGGCATCAATCTAAATTGTGGACTTTAATTGAGCTAATCTTATTTAATGTAACCCACGTAATGAGTAATACTTCATATCGTACATTCGTACAAATAAATACGCTCCGGAAAATATCTTTAATTTATACAAAACAGGGCTGTACTATAGAGCAACACACCTTACTACTGCATGGTCTTAAAAAATGCACTGGCCTCTGCAGGGAAAAAGAATAAAGCTAGGATTACTTTAGCTTTAACATGCAACATGACTGGTACTATAAAAAATCATTTTCCCATACAAAAAAAATAGGGGCACATTACCGACTTTTTTGAAAAAACCTCAGTTTGTTAAAGCACGTATGTATTTTTACATGTTGCAAAGTCTATTTAATGTTGTTTATAAAATGTTTAAAAATTAAAATTATAATAAATAAATAAATAAAATTTAAATAATAATACATAAATATAATTATTTTCTACCTGTTTTTTGAGTCCCCGGTTATAGTGATCAAAGTACTCTTGAACGAATGTGATCACTATAAGCGGCGACCTCTGTATAACATAGGAACCCCACTCAAAAACCTACAAAATAGGGGATGTCTACATAAAGAATGCATAAAAAAAAAACCTACGGAAAGAAAGCCCAGAAATATAAATATGA